AAAATACTTAATAAACTGATGAGTTCCTCCCACCTATAAGAAAGCCTTAACAAATTGCTCAAATTCCCTTTCCGAAATAGAATTTCTTATTCAAATGTGTTCAATTACATTTCATCGAAAAATATGAATTGACCAAAAATCAAGTCAAAGTCAAAAGCAAAATCAAAAACAAGAGAAGTGAAATCAGGAGGCAGTTTTTTCCCCCAAAGGGTAGGTGGGAATCTGGAACACTCTCCCCCAAAGTCTGTGGATGGATCCATTCAAATTTTCAAGACTGAGGTGGATAGATATTTGTTAAGTAAGGGTATCAAGAAATATGGGGCAAGGGCAGGTAATTGGAGTTGAGGTATAGATCAGCCATGATCTTCTAGAATAGTGGAACAATCTCAAGGGGCTGAATGGCCTATTCCTGTTTCTATGTTTTATATCACAAGTGAAAAACAAAGCTTGTTTAATGACTTCATACGTATGGTGGAAAATATCCCCATCACTCCCAGAGAGCCTATTTACAATATAATCCCAGAGTGTTTGAGCTCTGGATAATACTGCATTAGTTATTTGAAAAACTCGCTGCCTGTCAACTATTCCTAATTTAGATCCTGGTCATCATAATATTGCAAAATCATCACACCAGTCACATGATGCAGAGAAGTGAAAAAATATTGAAATTAATATCAACAGATTAACAATATCAGTGAGAAAGCAAATGGTTTTCTGATAAGTAACATATGAGAATAAAATACTATACTCTGCATAACACTTAGGTTGTTTTTTTTTTAAAAAAGCAAACTTGATAAGAACACAAACAAACAGATCTGTAAAAATGGTTGCAGGTTTTTTTTAAACAAACTCTGCTTACCTCAATCTCCTGCTCTATGTACTCAGCAGACCATCTGTCAGAAAGCCAAGCCAATAATGGACCAGGTAACCATAGATACCGATCAGCAATTTACCAAAAAGCATTGTACCACAGGCAAATGACGTTTTATAAAGGATCGAGCACAAGCTGTATTTGTTGTTGAATCTCTATGCCATGTACAATCCACATGGTGCTGAATGAACTCATTATACCTACTGTGTTTCAAATGGAGTCGAAATAATTCAATGCTTTTGTCGTTTTGCCCCTAATATGGATAACTTATATATTTAATAAAAAGCATGCCATATTCAAAACACGAACCAACATTCAATGCTGCCAAAGCCATTCGAATTTTGGTAACATCAGGTAATAAACACTACTGTTTGGAATCAAAGAAAATAATGCAGCAGATGGACACATTTCCAAAGATAGGCTGCCACGAAAGGCAATTTTAGTAAGACGTCTGTCTTGCATTCTGTGCAGGTTTTTCTCAGATCCAGAGCAGAAGTTAAATTAAACTGAAAGGGAAAACAAACAAAAGTGTTCACTTCTGCAAAGTGGCTCAATGGCCATTGAGGTGCTAACAGCTGAGGTTCCACCATCAATTAATGGAACTTTACATTGCAATACAATGGACTCCAAATTTTGACTTATCAAATAATTTTCAAAAACTTTAACTTCAGTAACAGAAATGTTACATTGTGCTTTTCATTCTGAGTCTTATATTTGGTTCCTTACATAATAATTTCTTATTCCCATGGCCATCTTACATAACCATAACTGGCTTGAGCAATGCTCAGCTGTAATACTCTTTGTACAGTGAAACGGACCTAACAAAATAGTCATGAAGCAAGAAGATTGTAGTGCATTCATAATATAGAATCACAGACTGTTACAGGACAAAATCAGGTCACCTGGTCCATTCAAGTCTGTGCTGGTGTTTTTCTCCTCATGAATCACCCTGTGTATTCCTGCTTGCCATACACCCACTTGCTTCCACCATAGCCAAAATCATTTATGGACTCTCTTTCACCTACAGCAGGGAATTTTGCAATAAAACCATCTTCTCTGTAAAGAATGATATCTACAATCTCCTTTCATTCTTTTTGAGACTATCTTACATTTTCCCTGGTTACGGACTCGCTAGTAGAAAGAATCTATTAGGATAATACTCCATCATAAACCTTTATAATCTTGAGGACCTCCATCAAATAATACTGTCAAATATAGTGTACTTAAAGTACCTTGACAGTTTTTCAAACAAAGAAACTGCAGGTATAGTCAATTTAATTCAAACTGGAATTATTGCATTCATGAATTCATTCAAGGACAATTCAAAGACCAGTCAGTCCCAAGATCAAGCTTTTTTCCATTCCTTCAGTTTGTGAATTTAATCTGATACTAACTGGTTTCACAAAAATGATTCTAATCTTGAGACTGACCATTTCCTATGTTGAATTGGAACAAACGCGTTGAAAAGTATTGTCATTTTAGATATATTAACTTTGGTTAGCAATCATTTGATGATCTATCCATTTAGATGGATCTTAAGTGGCATTTTAACTGTTCCTTCAGAGTTGAACAATGCAGGATTTATTGTTCAGATTACCAATATCAGCAGGTAGTAATTTATTTATGATAGGCACTGTGTTCAGTTGCACAGCAGGTCAATTGGGGCAGATCCTTCTCATTAAAAATGGAGTTTCACTGTTGGTGGACCCCACTACACAAACAACGTTACATGTAGTTTTTGCAGTCAATGATAATCCTTGCATTTGAAATCGTACCTTATCACGTATTTGAGAAGTCTCAAAGCGCTTCAAAGAATATACGGTAAAGTGGATTGACTGTATATTTTGTGAGTGAAATGCAGCAGCACGTGTCCCACAAGCAGTTGTGGATTGGCTGACCAAATCATTATTATTATCCCCGAAAAAACAATCTGCCAATCAATTAACAACCGGGTTATTATTCACCGCTAGGTAAACAGAGGCGTGTAAAGTAAGGAAACTTGCCAAACGTTTCGCCCTGGTCGGGAATCAAACCCAGGTCTTCTTGCTTGAAAGACGAGTGCTCTAACCAGTAAGATACAGGACCACTACCAGTCTCATGGGCAATAATGCACAGCTCAAAAAGTCTCCCACCCAAACTAAATTGTACTAGCACCAACGTTTTTTAAAAAAACAATCAGAAAATCAAGGTAATATTTTAACATAGGCTGTTTCAAATACAATTGAAATTTTCAGCAGCATTACTATCATTCATTAACAACAAATTACATTTGTATAGCACATTTTACATTGAAGGATGTCCATCTGACGCGAAAGGAGACACCTCAATGTGGGTGGGGGGTGGGGAGAGATGGGAAAGAAGAGTAAGTACTGTATTTGCCATTTCTTCCCCCATCAATCACATTTTCCAGTGTCAGGTATGTTAAGCTACCCATTTGTCACTGAACCTGATGTCAGAATTGTTGGCAGATTGTCAGATACCAATACACTTCTTTATGGTTGGATAAGCAAGGTGAAAAAGGTTGATGGATCAACCAAAAGCACATGAATGATTTCTCAATTTATTTCAGATGCGTTTCCCCAATCTTAGGTACTGTTCATCTATGCTACACATCATTCCTATAACCTACCCTCAGGCCATTTCAGCACCACATGGCTACTGAGAGGTACTCAAAAATAGCTTAATTAACCTGAAATGTTCTGCCTTCCTTCTTGGAGGAAAAATTATGAAGCAGATCAGTAAGACAACTATTAGAATTGAAAAATAATCCTTTTTTCATTGATAATATCAACAATCAAATACAGGAAAGACCATCACTGCATGTTACTTAAAAAAAATCCCAGAAGGATCATTGGTTCTCTGATTTTTTTAAAATCTCATTCCCCCTAAGGCAATACTGTGAAATAATCACTCATGATTTACGAGATATATTAGAAAGCATCAATCTGCATTTTCAGTGTTATTTTAATTAGAGTCCCAATTAAGCAGAGTTTGACATTGTAACTCAAACACTGCACGGCAAACAACCATGGTTTGTATAACCAACGATACCGTTTCAGTCATCATGTTATTCTGGGAAGTAAGGGAACATATTTCAAGTAGACTTCTTCAGAACGAAACAACGAGGCCATTCAATATCAGGAGAAATCACATTTTTCTTCACTTTCAGACCCGCGCAATTTTCAATACGAGTCCATCATATCTAAGGGTATCTACGCCACAGTCCTGCATTCCGCCTACAACATACGGTCAATTCACTTTACAGTATATTCTCCGAAGCTAAGATAAACTTAAGTCTTATTATTATTATTATTATAGCCTTAGTCCACATCTATTAGGGCAGCATCTATGGAGAAAGGAAAGTGAGTCAACGCTTCGGGTCCAGTTCTGACAACGGGTCGTGGACTAAAGACAAATCTGAATGAATGAATAATTAATAATGAAGATAAGGCGCCGTATCGAATGCAAGGATTATGGTGATGGTGATTATTAATGATTGTAATCCCCTCCAGACAGACACTGCCGAAAAGAAGAGTGGTTTCGTTTCTCCGGTAAAGATAGGGATCACTTTTCGGACAACCCACCCGGACTCGGGAGTGGGGGGGGGGGGGGGGGGGAGTGGGGGAGTGGGGGGGGGGAGTGGAGGAGAGTGGGGGGGCAGTGGGGGGGGGGTGGGGGTGAGTGGAGGAGAGTGGGGGGGGAGTGGGGGGAGTGGAGGAGAGTGGGGGGGGGGGAGTGGGGGGGGTGGGGGAGTGGAGGAGAGTGGGGGGGAGTGGAGGAGTGGGGGGGGGAGTGGGGGGGAGTGGGGGGGAGTGGGAGTGGGGGGGGAGTGGGGGGGGTGGGGGGGGGAGTGGAGTGGGGGAGTGGGGGAGAGTGGGGTGGGGTGGGGTGGGGGGGAGAGTGGGGGAGTGGGGGAGGAGTGGGGAGTGGGGGGAGAGTGGGGGAGTGGGGGGAGTGGGGTGGGGGGGGGGGGGGGGGGAGTGGGGGGAAGCCCCGGGTTAATAATCAACCAAACCCAAGCACTGTGATGATGGTGGTGATGATGAAGGTGGTGCCGGTCGCCAGCAGTGTGTGTGTGTGTGTGTGAGTGTGTGAGAGAGGACAGACGGACGGACTGTGCTGTACTCACCGCTGTGTGCGCTGAACCAGCGCGGCGCCAAGTGGAGCGGCAGAGAGTCGGACAGCGACGCCGCCCTGGAGCCCAGGTACAGCTGCAGCTCCCGGGTACCCGCGCCGCCTCCGCCCGTCTCCTGGTAACCGTTACTCGCGGAGTCCGGCCCTCCTCCTCCTCCGCCGCCGCCGCCGCCGCCGCCCCGCTCTCCTCCATCCCCGGGCCGACCGCTACCACCACCTCCTCCTCCTCCGCCGCCACCACGACAACACCGCCTCCTCCTCCGCCGCCGCCGCCGCCGTACAGCCCGAAGGGATGCGCCGGCTCCATCCCGGCCACGCTGCTGACCGAGCGGCTCCTCAGCCCCATGGGGGTGACGCCGGCCCGGTAGTGGCTGTAGTGCCCGGCGTGGACCGCGCTGTCGTCCGTCGACACGCCGGGGAAGGCGGTCCTGGAGCGGGCCGCCGTGCTCTGCTTACCTCCCATCGCCAGCCGCTCCGCCGCCAGCAGCAGCAGCATAGACACGGGGAGGGCGGGAGGGAGGGGAGGGGGGGGGGACCGGGACGGGACGCTCGCCCTCGGGGGGTGTGGGGGGGGGGGCTGCTGCAGACCCCGGGGCGGGGCGGGCACAACACAAACCCGGGCAGTCAGATCACCAGAAGCCCCGGGCTGGGCTGGGCTGGGCTGGGGGTGGGGTGGGGGGGAGGGGGGGCAGCGAGGCGGGAGGGTGGGCGCCCTCTCCCTCACACCAGCCGACTGTTCCTGTCAGTGAAGGCCGCCCCCATGGCGCGGTGTGGGAGTGGGAGTGGGTGGGAGAGGGGGAGGGGGTCAGTCGTGTGGCCGCCGCTCGGCCATCGCCCCGAGTCTGTGTGTGTGTGTGTGTGAGTGTCCGTGTGTCCGCTCTCTCTCTCTCTCTCTCTATGCCCCGCCCCACGCCCCGCCCCCACACTCGCGCATGCGCCACCGCCCACTCGCCACACAAAGCCGCTCCTGAGCCCCATTGTCTGTCTTTGTTCAGTCTGAGACACACACAACATACACACAACATACACACAACATACACACACACAACATACATATACACACACAACATACACACAACATACATATACATACACACACACATACATACAACATACACACACACACATACATACAACATACACACAACATACACACAACATACATATACACACACAACATACACACAACATACATATACATACACACACACATACATACAACATACACACACACACACATACATACAACATACACACAACATACACACAACATACATATACATACACACACACATACATACAACATACACACAACATACACACAACATACATATACATACACACATACATACAACATACACACAACATACATATACACACACACACAACATACACATACACACATACAACATATACACAACATACGTATACATACATACACACAACATACACATACATACAACATATACACATATACATACACACACACATACATACAACATACACACAACATACATATACATATATACATACATACACACAAACATACACACATACATACACACAACATACATATACATACATACACACAACATACACATACATACATACATACATACACACATACATACACACAGCATCCATATACATACACACACGCATACATACATACACATACACACAACGTACATATATACACACACACACAGAACATATACACAACATACATAAACATACACACATACACACATACATCCAACATATACACTACATACATACACAACGTACATACATACAACACACATACACACAACATATACACAACATACATATACATACACACAACATACATACACACATACACACAACATATACACAACATACAAACATACACACACACAACATACACATACACATATACACAGACAACATACACACAACATACATACACACACACAACATACACATACACACATATACACAGACAACATACACACAACATACATACACACACACAACATACACACAACATATACACAACATACACATACACACATATACATACACACATACATACCCCCACACATGCATACATACACATATACATACACACATACATACATACACACGCGTACATATACAACATACACACATGCATATACACATACACACACATACACAAACACATGCACACATACATATATATACACACATACGTACACACATATATACATACACACACGTACAAACACACACGTATATTATAATAATCCTTTGCATTTGAATATAGCGTCTGTTCATTTCGCAAGAAATACACCGTTCATTTTTAATTGATTGACTGTACGTGGACTTGTGTGAACCAAATGTAAAATACCGCAGATGCTGGAAATCTGAAACCAAAACACAAGGTCGTTGGGAACACTCAGCGGTCAGGCAGCGTCTACAGAGACAGGAAAGCGAGTCAACGGGTCCAGTACTGACGAAGGGTCGTGGACCCGAAACGTGGACTCACATTCCTTTCTCCATCGATGCTGCCTGACCTGCTGAGTGTTCCCAGCGCCGTCTGTTTTTGTACGTGTACAGGTTGGGTAATTGAGGGATTCAGGGCAAAGGCAGGTAATCGGTTTTGAGGTACAGATCAGCCATAGTCTAATAGAATGGCGGAACAGGGGTTCGAGGGGCTGAATGGCCTACTCCTATTTCTACATTTCTATATTTTGTGGGCGAAACGCAGCAGTCAATTGCGCATGTCAGTGGCCCGCAAACAGTCCGGGATTGAAGTGACCAAATTATTATTATTATAAATATTTTATTTTTTTGAATATCTATATGCACACCTTGTAACTATATTTCATAACACTCCTATGAAGTTTACATCCTTGCACTTGAGACACAAACTGCACACAGTCTATATTTCTATGAGTATATATCCGTAGAAATACTACTTAAAAATAATAATAATTTGGTCACTCAATCCACAACTGTTTGTGGAACACTGCTGTGCACAATTGTATAGCTTTTGTTTTGCCCACAAAATATACAGTCAATTCACTTTACAGTATAGTCTGTGAAGCGCTTTGAGACGTTTCAAGGACGTGATAAGGCGCTGTATCAAATGCAAGGATTATATATATATATAGGATATGTATGTAATTGAATGTTAATGGTCAGAAGAAATGTTGCTTCCTGCAATCATCCTTCTGCTTATATATACTGTATATCAATATATTCACCCAAAAATTCAGTCAATCCACTTTACAGTATATTTTGCAAAGCGTTTTGAGATGTCTTGACGATGCAATAAGGTGCTATATCAAATGCAAGCATTATTATATATAATGCACTATTGCATTTCGTTTGAACGTGTTTGTTTTCATTTCAAATGTGTACACCTGCACGTGTAATATGTGTATATATCTTTTTAAAAAAGCAAGAGTCCTAATGTGGGAGGCACCATTTCTTTTGAATGTCTTTTTTCCACATAATGAAAATATGTATACATATATATACACACAACACACACACTATATGTGATACATATGAAAGCAGGATACAACAGTTTTGAATGTTTTCTTTGCTTCAATATGAATTATACATAGATACACAAAAGCAGGAAGTAATACATAAAAACAGGATGCAACATTTCCTTTGTATTTGTTTGTTTAAAATCTTTGCACTCAGAGAGAGGGAGATAAAGTACTGTATAATACACAAAGCAACAATTCTTTTGTATCTTTTTCTGGCTGAAAGTAAAATATTATTTGTGTATTCGTAAACAAAACACTAAGTGCAATGCAGAAATTGACATTACTTTGAGTACAGATAAAGATATTTATTTTTTCCTGTGGGAACTGAAACTATAAGTTCTGTGAAATATGTCAGGGTGCCATGAAATGAAATGAACAAGCCTGACAATGTGTTTGGTTTTGGATGTCAGGGTTATTTATTGTCAGTCCCTAACATTGCTGTTTTGCATCCATATTAAATAGAAGGAGGTTTGAATTTGGAGGCAAAGAAACTACAAAATACAGCATTGCATTCAGTTTCCCACAAAAAATAGTCAATCCATTTTACAATATATTTTGTGAAGCGCTTTGAGACGTCTCAACATGTTAAGGTACTGTATCAAATGCAAGGATTATGATTATTATTATTATTATTTAGCATGGGGGGGCTGCCTGGCCTCTCCATTGTGAGGCCCTCTTTCAGTCTCAAAATGAAACTCTCTCTCTCTGCTCTTCACTTGTAGCAATGAAGAAAAAACAGCACACAAATGTTTTATGTTGATAAATTGATAATATTTATCCTGAAAAGCAAACCCACTAGTGAACTGCTGGTCACCATCATTTAATTAGTTGCATTTCAGAATATATAAAATAAAAATATTGGGATAATCTACGGTTATTAAGTATATATACTATTGCTACCATCACAAAAACACCTCTGGCTTCCTTTTTCTCTTATTTGTCTTTGTACATGTGGCTGGGGGAGAGAGGTGGCAACAGAATGCTTCAATGATGTACAGGTTATTTGAGACTGAAGTGCAAACAGCATGCAATCTGCCCCACTCTGGAATTAAACCAATGTGACTTGACTGTGACTTCACTGAGCAAATCTGCACTCCCCTTGACTGGAGATGTGGCAGCAATCATACAGGAACGTGAGCTCAAGGCAGTTCAGCAAGTGAGAGGAGATGTAATCTGTGGGCTGGTTTCCTAGTTCGAGGGACATGCCATGTCTCCTGGAGGCTGTTTCCAAGCAATGCCTTAACTCCAAGGAGGGAATGTTTTCCAAATAGACCTCTCTATTTGCTGTCGTCACCGGCACCACTTCATTCAAGCTATATGAGCCATCTCGATACAAGATGTGGTAATGCACTATATCAAATGCAAGGATTCTTATTTTTATTATATTATTATTCTTTATCCCAAAGAGGAGAGTGCGGTGGATACCGGCATATCTGCACAGAATAATAATAATCCTTGCATTCTACTTGCCCAATATTTCGTCCTGCCAGGAATAGAACCCAGGTCTCTCGCTTGTGAGGCGAGTGCTCTAACCACTGAGCTACAGGACTCCATCGAGCTACAGGATTCCACGAGAATGTTTGCATTGGGTTGGGAGAGGTTGGACGGTAAAGAGTGGAAAGTACAAGGATAATGCCTCGCAAAACAAAATTCTTCCCAACCTGAAATGACATCCATCATTAATTGTGTTCATTAAGTTCATTCTACAAGCAACAGGACAACAACAACAACTTGGATTTATATAGCGCCCTCCACGCCGGACGGTTTCTCAGAGCGCTTCACAGTAATGGATCCTGGGGCCGAGCCAGGGGGAAGGGGAAGAGGTGACCAAAGGCGCGGTCGAAAAGAAAGGTCTTTAGCCGAGACCTGAAAGTAGGAAGAGAGGGGTGAGGCGAAGGGAGTGTGGAAGGAGAGTTCCAGAGCTTCAGGGCGTAGTGGCTGAAGGCACG